GAGTGCAATACACAGAGACTCAGGGCACATGAGTGCAACACGCACACACACACACACACACACACACACACACACACACACACACAATACACACACTCAGATTGCCCAGCAGAGGGAAGGAACTGGAAGACTCTAGATCTGATCTGCCCAAGGCTGCCAAACTTCTTTTTTCTTTTGGGGGTATATGAGTTGGCATTTTGTAAATGTTATGTAAATGTTCTTTTAGCCAGAACCCTCATAAAGTTTTATCCCAAGGCACCCCAAGAAGTGTATAGCTCAGAGCCTAGGGCATTCAGCCATGGCCAGGCTGTCAGAGCTGTCCCTGCCCCTGAGGATTTCCATGGGAGAGACTTTGAAAACTCTTTACCCAGACCATGACCCCTGTGGCCCTGGCTCTGCCTAGCCTTGAGCTTCTGCAAAGCTAAGCCTCCAGCTACACCTGGTCCTTGCTTTCCCGACTAGTTCCCTGGTACATGAGTCACTTAAGGGGGCTGTTACTCGAGATCTAAAGTTGCCCTGGCCATCACCTGGCTGGTTGTGATAGTGGACCCAATTCTAATACAGGGCGGGCTTCTTCCATAACCCCGGACTTGGGAATGTGGCCACATCATTCAGCACACTTTGCTGACAGTGATTGCTGACAGTTATAGCCTTTCTAGGTATGAAGGACTTGCTCAATCTTTTCTCCCCGTTTCTCTCCATTGATACCAAATACCTAGAATTATGAGCCATCCCTAATCAGGTATCCTCTGGCTAAGCCATTCCTTTCACTCCTGTCCTGCTGAGACCACCCACACACCCACCTATCCCAGGGGTCTGCAAACATTGCCTAGAAAGGGCCAGATGGTAACAGCCCGAGAGCTATACAGCATCTGCCCTCACTGCTCAGGCCTGTCTGTACCAAGAGCCTGACAGTGTGTAAATGAGAGTGTCGAAGTGCATTTCGGTTAAACTTCATTTGCAAGCAGGTGGCCTACCTACCCATGCCCTGAACCCTCGGCTTTGTGTCTGATTGCCCCCTTCCCTATCTGGCTCTCCCCAGTGCACTGCCGCCCCCCCCAAGTCCCTCAGGGGGCAGAGGCTTCCCTCTACTGGGGGTGTGGGAGGGAGTTGGTCTTTCTACCTTCAGATTATGCCTCCTTACCTTTGTCATATGTGTCATCAGACTCGGCACCCTCTCCTTGTCACCACCCTCTGCTCCCCTGCGAGTCCCCCTTCCTTGTCCAGGAAGGCACAGGCCACTCTGGTTCTTCTTACTACTCACTTGCCGTCCTGCCTCTCCCTTCTCAACTGTTTTCCGCAGGGATCCTGACCCCACTCCTATCTCAACTGCCCCTCCTCTGTCTATAGCTAGTTTCTCTGTCATGACTGATAAAATGCCCTCCCTTGTCAAAGTGTCGCATCGCAGGCTGCTCCTAACCTCACCGTCTCTCTCCAACTTCCCCCCTCAAAGGCCGTGACTCCCATAGTTCTTTCGCCCTGCGACCTTCTGTGTGGACCCTTCCCTTCTCCAGCCTGTCCTTTTCACCTGCCAATCAGTTTAGGGCCACTCCCCATCATCACAGCCACACTAGCATGGACCCTTGGCTTTCACGCTCCTGTCTTTGCTTGACTTGTTCACCAGGAGAAAAACACCTACCCAGATCCCATCCAACACATGGAAATTTTGGTACCTGAACACAGAAATCCATAAAGCTGAAGACAGCTCTGCTTCCCACTCATGATCACCAGTGTCAAATTGGCCTTCGGTGATACCCAGCAATCCTTCCTCATGTCCCCACTCCTGCTCCATCCCCTCTTCACTTTCCTGGGTGACTCTTCTGTAGCTTCACTACCCTCTTCAAACTCTTCCAGAATGTCCCTCCCTTCAGATTTCCATCTGGTACCCTGGGAAAGACTTTCCCCAAGGAAAAATGCAAACAGAAGAGGCTTTCCTGTGTCTCCATTCCACATCTATGACCTTATAATGTACCTCTCTAGGTCTCTGAGAGAAAAATGAGCACCCAGCTGGGCTTCTCCTTTCTCTCCACCAGAAGGTGTGTTGACTTTTGTTCAACTGAACTTTGCCCCATATAAAGCCAGCATCCTCAGGGTGCCACAAAACCCCCCCACACACACACTTCCTGCCTTCTGAAGGATGTGAGTCCTCTGCATTCTGCATCACCAGCTTTTTCATAAGGTGACTCCCATCTCACCCAGAACTCTTATGCCACACCCACTTTTGTTTTTCTCTGCTCATAATTGCAGGAAGTTTTAAAGAGTTGCTGTACACTAACCTTTAGTCAAATGCAGCCACAGCAGCCGAAACTGAGGGGCACTGTACATGTTTCAAAAATTGAGTATTGTAGATGTAACCAAAGGTCTTATTAAATAAGAAACACAGAGCCGATTCAGAGAAGAAAGCCAAGAGGTCAGAGCTAAGAGCCTCACCCTTCCTGCTTCAGCGATCCTCTTCAGCCAAGAGAGCTCTCCGAAAAAAAAGGGGCCTACTTCCTGTGTGTATGTCTTTATATACTCTAGATGTTCTGCCTTCTCATTGGTTGTAAACCCAAACATGTGACTGCCTCATCACTGCCTGTATGTACCGCCCTCCAGGTCCTTAAAGGCGTGCGCCACCCACCGCTGCCACGCACTAGCTATGGCTCTAATAGCTCTGACCCCCAGGCAACTTTATTTATTAACATACAATTAAATCACATTTCAGTACAAGTAAAATACCACCACAGAGTATAACACAAAGGATGACAAATATCTCCTTGTTCTTCCTTCACATTGGAATGCTGTATTTTGATGGTGTTGGTCTGGATAAAATGTGTCTCCATAGTTAATTTCACCTTCCTTTACCTTATTAGCATGGTTGCTGGAGAGGCTGCTCGCTTGGCTCGCGTTTGGGCTTGCCTGTGTTTCTTTCAGGCAGGGATTGCTATTCTCACTGGCTCCAGCTTTTGCCACTCTTTCCCGGACCTCTCTACGAGGTCTTTCCCCCTTATTCCCAAATCAGATGTGTTCTAGGTCTCAGTGGCCTTGGATGTGCTAAATGAAGTGGTTAGTTTCCCATATGTATCTTCAGCTCTGGACAGTTGATCATGGCCATCTCTCTTTACAGTCTCCATGGAGTGTCAAGTCTCCTGCCCACAATCCACTCCTCATCGGTCTCCTTCTTTGATTTGTTCTGATTGCCTCCATAGTATGGGAGGACCCTGTGACCCAGTCCTCTCCCATTCAGCTTCCAAACAGACCTCATATTGTCCAACTCCAAATACGCCCTGTACAGAAAACAGTTTTGTCTATTCTAGACCTCCTTCTGACCTCCAGACATATTGACACCAGCTCAGAAAAACCATCCGACATCCAACAGTCAGCCCAGACTTGGAGAAGGTGGCAGTAGAATGTGGATGCCTATACCACCGTATCCCATCGTTCTTATTGCTCCAACCTAGACTGTTGGAGTCCCATCTCAATCCTGTCACTTCACACTTACCAGCTAGTCCAACAGTCATTCCTGCTAGCTCTATCTTAAAAATAAATCCAGTATCTGATGCTCACAATCTCCCAAATTACCACCTGGCCCGAGCCCCAGCCTTTCTCCCTGGGCCACTGTGGTAGCCTGCTCTGTCCCTGCCCACGGCTAGCACCATTGGGCTTAGACTTCACTCAGACTGTGTCCATTTTCTGCCCAAGGTTTCTGTGGGGCCCCTCCTTCCTATCCAATTTCATCTTCCCTCAATCTTCTCTGCATTAGTTGTACTGACAGTGTTGGCCCCTAACATCTCACGTTGCATCTCCCAGGATCACTGTCCCAACTACTTCTCTGCCTGGAGTGGTCCCCAGACAGCTGCAGAGGCCACACACTCTCTGTGCCTCTTCTAAAGTGTCACCAGAGCAGAGTTGCTTTCTGAGCTACCTCCTATTCAAAGGCTGGTCCCTTCCTCTTGTCACTGCAGGCCCCTCCTCTTTCCAAGTATCACACTCTGTGAGGTCTAGTGACTGACAGCTCAGATCCTGACTGCCCCTAGAGATGTGAACTCCCTCAAGGGTCAGAATATGTCTCTTCTGCTCCAGCCTAAGTATCTAGCACAGTACCTGCACACAGTAGGTTCTGTGTTTGGAGGAGATGCACAATCACAGACACACTGTTGGAGCGGAAATCTGTGCATTTCAGTGTCGTGCTTTCACATGTTGGTGGGTCCGGCTTGAAGCTCTCCCACTTCAGCCATTCATCCATTTGTTCAACATGTGGCTCCTGGGTGGTGGTCTCCCGCACAAGTGAGGTGGATTTCTAAGGTTGTTTGTTCTCTGGAACAAATCACACTGAGACGGTCATCAGGATGGAGGAGTAGGCAGGGAGCATGTGGCTCCAAGGTGGTCATCAGGATGGAGGAGTAGGCAGGGAGCACGTGGCTCCAAGGTGGTCATAAGGATGGAGGAGTAGTCCGGGAGCACGTGGCTCCAAGGTGGTCATCAGGATGGAGGCGTAGGCCGGGAGCACGTGGCTCCAAGGTGGTCATCAGGATGGAGGCGTAGGCAGGGAGCACATGGCTCCAAGGTGGTCATCAGGATGGAGGTGGAGGCCAGGAGCACGTGGCTCCAAGGTGGTCATCAGGATGGAGGCGTAGGCCAGGAGCACATGGCTCCTGCCACTCATGGCAGGGAAGCTGGATTCCACAGCAGTGATGACAGCACCCAAGAGAGAGAGTGGACTTCCCTGCTTTGTCCCTGCTCCTGGACAGTGGTGCCAGGACCCTAGCTCGCCCAGACCAAGTACACCAACACACTGACAGCAAAAGGCTGTCCCGTGCCTCACTCAGCACTCTCCGTGGAAAGTGTCCCCTCCCCGTGTGCGTGATACACCCGCTGAGGGAATATCAACTTGTCCCCTTTCACGGGCCTCCAGTGGCCACACCTGCGAGACTCCAGCAGTCTAGGCTGTGTTCTTGGTTTGGAGCCCAGCTGAGCAAGCAGCTGGGGTCCTGATGGCTCCTCTCTCCCCTCTCTTCTAGGCTTTTTAGTGCAATTTTAGAACAAGCAACCAAAGCTGACGGGGCCAATGCTCTCGGAGGGAAAGGAGCTGGATTCGATGTGAAGGCGCTGAGGGCTTTCCGCGTGCTTCGTCCCCTGCGGCTGGTGTCTGGAGTCCCAAGTAAGTGAAGCCCCGTTCCTGGCGACAGTGTTCTTTTCGTAACTGCCCGCTTCCCTCTGCTGAACTGCCAGGAGCACTTTGCGGAGGAACCTGGTTTCTATGAGTGGAAAGTTTTCTTATAGACAAATCTCTGATTTAAAGTTGGGTTTCTGGTACAAATGCACCAAACACATGAGGCCCAGCTTCTGTAGAAACCCAGAGAGTATTTCCAGTCATCACATAGTCAAAGGAAGACAGCCCACATAGAGACAGCGCCCCTCAGGCTATATGCGTCTTGCATGCCAAGATAAGAAGGAACACATTTACAACAGAGGAACCTGGGCCACAGAAGGCTAACCCCTAGACTGCCTTAGCTCCTGAGATTAATTCTGCTCTCTGTATTTTCCCCAAAGAATGTCAAGAAAGCATCACTGGACATTCTGAGAGCTCAGTCCCCAGCCATTTCCTCTTTTCACACCCATGGGGCATCCTGAGCTGCACACAGAGACCTGATATCTGCCATCTAGAAAATGGTTTCTGCCAGGGTATGAGGCCAAGCTCTCAGAACTGGGTATGGGGAGACTTGTTGCCCTCCAGGATATCAGCCACATGGACACTCCCTCTCTCCTCATGTAGAGGCTCTGAGCTCAGGAGCTTTGGGTACCTCTTGGCTGCAGCAAACCCCAAGCAACCTGTTCTTGGGGAAGCAACCTCTATACTGTAGAGTATATAAGGTTCTTCTTTCTCATCCTGTTCAATCTGTAAATCTGCGAAGAAATCTGGGCTTGTTGGCTGAGATTGTATGTCTTGGGTCAGTACATCAACCTGTGATTTAGGTGGCCACATGGCCAGAGGCAGGGAAACAGACTGTCCTTTGATAAATAGCCCCTCTTATCTGCTCTGTGCTGAGCACCTGAGTGCATTCTTGCTGCTTGATAGCATCTTAAATTCATAAAGCCCCAGGATGTTGCCTGGTGGTTCTCCTCTTTCTGTATGTATATAGAATGAGCGGGGGTGGGGGGGGGGTGGGGAGGGGACTTAATTAACTAGCAGCAGAGTCGGGGCTAGACCTGGTCTCCCAGCTGCCCTTTCTGCCTTACCACACCATCTTTAAAGAATTAAGGCTATCATTCTTGGTTGTCTTCGATGTTTGCATGTGTCTCCTGTCTCTTCAACTGCAGTAAAGGCCCTTGAAGCACAGAGTTGTGCCCTTTATACTACCTTATCTCTGTTCAGTGGTTAGACATATATCTAGCCCAGGTGGGGAAACTTGCAGAATAGGTGAAAGCAGGAGGTGGTGCCTTGGTTAGGGTTTCTATTGCTGTGACAAAAAACAAACAAACAAACAAACAAACAAACCACCATGACCAAAAGCAACTTGTGGAGGAAAAGGTTTATTTTAACTTACAACTCTCAGGTCACACTCCATTGCTGACAGAAGTCATGACAGGAACTAAAGACAGGAATCTAGGGGCAGGAACTGAAGCAGAAGCCACAGGGAATACTGCTTCCTGGCTTGCTGCTCATGGCATGCTCAACCCACTCTCTTATACAACTCAGGACCACTTACCCAGGGGTGGCACACCCCCATGGGCCTGTCCCCATCAACCATTAATCATGAAACTGCACTGCAGACTGGCCTGTGGGCAATCTGATGGAAACATTGTCTCTATTGGGGTTTTCCTTCCCAGATGACTGTATCTTGTATCAAGGTGGTAAACCAGAGGAGGACAGTGGTTGTTCGCTTTGCTCAGGGGACTCCCTGGGCAGAGGTTATCGAGCATCTCAGACTGAAAAGCAACACGGAGCTAAGCCTCCTAAGTGCAGTTTAAACTATCATTGTCTACTCAGCCACAACCATTTCACATGCTGTGCTTACCAGTCCCACAGCCCTGTGAGTCAGCCTCTTCCAGACCTTACCTTATGGGAGAAGTTGCTGGCCAAGATGCAGGCGTGAATCTCTGCTAAGTATGTTCTCAAAGGTTTTGTAGTAGGAAAAAAATACTCATTAAAAATGATATGTAGAATAAAAACAAGACATCCCAAAAACTGTTTAGGTAAGGAGTAAGGAGTGCCATGATGAGTAAGCTTTGGTGATGCCATACATCCAAGAGTAGGGACTGAGGATCAGAAAGCCTTCCTAGAGGAAGTAGAATTTTGGAATGAATCTCAGTGGACAAACAAGGAAGGACATTAAAAAAGAAAGGACAGTATAGTCCTGGAGATGTACACAGGAGGAATTAAGAGCTGATTATAGCAAAATAAAACAAACAGATAGACTCCCAATGGCAATGAAATTCTATGTCATTGAAAGTGCTGAGAGCTGCTGGTAGTAATGGCTTTACCAGAGGCCGTGGGAGTATACAGCAGGTGACAACTAGTATTTAACAGGTCAGCCCACCCGATGAATAACTCTCTGTTGGGGAGCCCCACTAGGCAAAGTCTGTGGGGTCACTGGCTGTAGAAACAGGTTGTTTTCTGTCTGTAACTTTCTCATGTGCCACCACTCACCTACCTAAAAAGAACAGCTGTGGGGTTCTTTCCACAGTCCATTGGTAGTGTGCTTTATATCTTTGGACACACATACTGCTGTGGATGGTCAGGAAGATGATTTCTGTTTAAGCTGTATAATTCTAATAATATTAGAATATTTTTCATAACTGACACAGGAAAGTAACAGTATTCTCAGTCACAAAGACAGATAATTTTGGACTTTAGAACAAATTCAAAACAGACTAGCTGCCCCTGCAGAGCATACACAAAGATAAATTCCAGGTGTTTGTTGCTCAATCACAGTCAGAACTGAAGCAACTTTGGTAGACATAACTCCCTGCAGTAATTCCCTCTCTGCATGTACTCCAACCACTCAAGGTTCATCCAACTAATTGCTATTGTTAAGTTCTGAATTTCAGTGATACTTTCTGTCTGGGAAAGAACTATATGCAGTTGCTCTTGGGCCTGTGGGGGATGGGCCATAACAGTGAGGTGCACACAGCAGGGCAAAATCTCAGTTTGTGACCAGAAAGTGAGAGAAAGACTGGAGTCTCACAATCCCCCTCAAAGTAACAACACTCCAGTGACCCCAAGACTTGCACTAGGTCCCGCCTCTGAAGCTTCCACCGCCTCTCAATGCCATCCCCGGGACCACACCTTTAATGCATGGACCTTTGGGATGTAGTCAAGATCCAGAATGTACCAGCTTTTCTGAAATACAGATTATAGTCAATGAAACTAGTAGATCTTACATGTACAGTTGCAAATGGAATACTCTTAAAATTTTATGATAGCATAATTTCATTACAACCTTCTGTCCTGTTGGTGTACATATTTTATAGTCATGCCCCATGTTACTGTTTCACAATAAACAATCAGATGGCTTAAGTAAATTACAGAAGAAACTGAAACACAGACTTTTATGTGCCTGTTCACCTGCCAGTTCTGGGTCTCTGCTGTATAAGTGGGTTGTGACGTCTTTAGACACTGTTTTCTGCTCCACCCTCACTCTTATTTTGGAACTCCAAGTGCACACGTTTAGCCAACACAGATTATTCCGTTTTTCCTTAAAGATTTGTTCTTTTTTTTCCCAACTTCTTTTTTGGTCTATGTTCCACAGCTTGGATAGTTTCTTTTATCATTCCAGTTCACTTGCTTTTGTTTGTTAGTTTTTCTTCTTCTGCTGTCTCTATCCTCCTTGAGCTTATTCAGTGAGTTTTTTATTTTAGTCTTTAGTTCAGTTGATTTTTAATTATAGAATTTTAATTTGGTTCCCTGTAGTTGGAAGATTTCCTGTGTCCCGGCCTGCCGGCAGTCGGGACAAATCCCTCCCACTCACTTTCGCCCAAGTAAACACACAGAGGCTTATATTAATTATAACTGCATGGCCATGGCTCAAGCTTTTGCTAGCTAGCTCTGTATCTTAAATTAGCCCATAACTATTAATCTATGTATCGCCACATGTTCTGTGGCTTTACCTGCGTCCCATTACATGTTGCTCCTTGGGCGGCTTGCTGGCATCTCCTGACTCAGCTTTTCTCTTCCCAGAATTCTCCTTGTCTGTTTATCCTGCCTATACTTCCTGCCTGGGTACTGGCCAATCAGTATTTTATTAAACCAGTGTACAAAAGCATTATTCCACAGCATTTCCCCTTTTCTGTTTAATTAAAAAGGAAAGTTTTAACTTTAACATAGTAAAATTATATATAACAAAACAGTTATCAAGCAAGAATTACAGTTACAATATCTAGTCTATATTTGTAAAATTCAAGGAAATATTCTATTTACCCTATAAGGTTTTATATCTAACTTACCTTTTATCATAACTAAGGAAAACCATAATTATAACTATCTAGTCTTTAACTACATCAAAGACATCAGAAGGATATAATATTACCTAAGTAAACAGGAAGTCCATTGTAAGCAACTTTCAAAAATCTAGAATGACAGAGACAGCTGCCTGCTTGCCTGGACAGTCACCCAAAGTTCTTCTGCAATGTTGGAGCATCCATCTTCAGCCCATAGGCCTAGAGTCTCTTAGTCACTTCTCTCTGTGTCCTGTAGAATGTCTGACTGTTTCTTCTGAGAAGCAGGAATCTAAAGGACCATTTTTGCCTTGCAAAGTTCAGTGATCACCTTCCTATGGGTCCTACATGTCTAGTCGATGCAACATTTTGTCAAGCAGTCCAGGCAAGAACAGTTTCTTGCCCAAATGTCTATTTTTGCCAAGAAGAAGATAAACTTCATATGAAGTGTCTTCAATGCCCATCCTCCTCTCTGAAGTAAATCAGTGCTGTCAGGAGCAGACGTGTCTCATTGTCCAGAAAGTTTAAGTTTTTAAAACATTTTAAATGTCATATTCTGTAGATCTTTGAAGTGTTTGAAGATTATCTACCTAATTGAATTATACCTATGTATACCTAGAAAACTTAACTAACATGACTATAAGTTTGACTATCATAGATGTCTAATTATTAATCTGTATTTCTTAATTATACATTGTAATTTTAATGAGATGCACAAACATA